CTTGCAGCAGGTTCTTACAAGTAACCTGGACAACAGGTTGCCAAACCAAGCCTTATCTTGATCAAGCCGATGTCTTTGATCCAGGTGATCCAGCTGCATGCTGCACTCGCATCCACGACGAGTTATGCCTTCGATGATGCTCTTGCAGTGTTCTGCCTGTTGCCTATGGCAGATGTAGAGTTTGGGTTGCGCACTCCATATCCGGAGCAAACGCTAAACCTCAGGCCTGAACCCTAAACCCGAACCCTAAAGCCGGAACCCTGGAGCCTGAACCCTAAAACCCGCTGAACCCTAAAGCCGGAATCCTAAAGTGGCCAATTCCTACTAATTTTTGGCCAACGCCCACTGATTTGTTTGTGGCCAATGCCCACTAATCCAGTCAGGTTTAAGTATAATAAGTAAGCGAGATTTAGGGTTTAGGGTTGAAAGATGATTTGTGTCAGCCGACCCTGCAGGGTTTGCTTTTTGAGGCGGTAGGGCCTGTCGAGGCTTCAAAATGGGTTGGCTTACTTTCTTTTTCCGGGCTTAGAGCTGGGGCTAAGGGACAAAACATCTCAAGAATGGCCATCGCTTGGGATGAATCTTTTACCATGCCGTTTAGCCGCTTTTTTCCTATCTCAGGTGGTAGTTCCCCAAAAGGGGGGAACTCTAGTATAGACTCTATGGCTCTGATTAAGCTCTGATTACAGGGACCCCTGAAAAGGGATCCGGATCTTGGGAAATTCCAATGTCTCCCCCTGTCCATTAAGCACCCGTGACAAGTCTGAGACCCGATACTCAAGCTTTAATCAGGTAATGTCTTACAGTCTCTTATAATTCTTGATATGGCCAGGGCCGGGGGTTTGCGTGTAGAGTTTAGTGCAGAATATGTTGACTAGGCTTATCCTGAAACCTAGCTGCGTAAATCTAGCTTTTGTTTCATCTCCATGCTTTTTCCATTTGGTTCACCACTACAATCAGAATCACTACAATCCTCTCACTTGTCTTTCTGGGGGATAGTATGGAATCAGGGAATTGTCTTTCTGGGGGATAGTATGGAATCAGGGAATAAGCTATATAGGGATTACATAGGGAGTATATTCCCTTATTCCCTACTATCCCCCAGTAAGTTTCTAGTGTTCCAAATTTTGCTCCTGAAGCCGAAATCGAAAACCGCCTACCTTGCCTGGCCACATATCCCGATGTACCTCTACGTATGCGGTTTAGGGTTGAGGGTTAGGGCCCCCACATGCGCCAATAACCCTCGTGATACAACCCCCACATGCTATAACAAGCCGGGCGCTGAACTCCCCAAACAATAAACCCTCAAGATTTCGAGGAGTGCAGTGGCCGTGGTTTTCAACCCGCAAGGCCTCTGAGGGTGTGTTGGCGGCGGGATTGAGGGCTTCAGGTTTGGGATTTGGTGCCTCATAGGGTCGCTTTAAAGGGGGTCTAGAACCGATATCAACGAAGCAATCTGGGGCTTATGGGGTTTTAGAGCCTTGGGAAAGGTGAAACGGAGCAACGAGGTGTTGCTTATTGTGGATTCCTGTTGTTAGGGATTCCACGATTCTGTTATTTCAGGTTGTTTATTTCGAGGGTGTTTATTATTGACAGCAGCCCAGTCTTTCGACTCCGATGTGGAAGTTGTTCAGAAAGGGCGGTAGGCTCCTACCTACTATTCATGGGTGGCATCCTGCAGCATCCTGAGTAGTCTGAAGCTCGTGAGGCATTGTGGTTTGCGGGCCTTGGGTAGCGTAATGCTTCCTTTCAACAGTATAGTTCAGGAAGAGCTAGGCAACAAAGATGTCCAGCAGGGCGACTTTTCTTAAGAGCAATACGAGGGGCCCTGGTTTGGGAAAACAGGAATTATCACAAGAGTTCAACATATGTGCACGCCAGAACGTTCTGTGCACGCTGAAAAGAGGATGGAAGCCTGTCACAATTCTGGGAACCAGCCATGTGAAAACTCAAGGTAGGAAAAGCACAAGTTACAATGGGTTCATTTCCAATAGTCCTATAGGCTCTTTTAATACTTACTATACCCCTAGGCATCCAGATGGCCCCATGTAGGTAACATTTATACGCCTGAGGGCACAATGTAAGCATTTCGTGTATATTTGGATCCCTAGGGCAGGTAGATAAGGGAGTTTCCCAAAATTAGGGGTACCTTTTTGGGGGTCCCAATAATAAGGACTATAGTATCTGGGGGTCTATATGGGTCCCCTTCTTTTGGGAAACTACCATAATGGCGCTTCGTAGCAGATCTCGGGAGTTGAGAACCACAGTCCTTGGGCATCCAAGCCGTTGCTCCGGAGCCTAGATCTCAACACCCCTGAACGCGCGAGCTGCCTTTAAGAACTACAACGAGGGGAGGACCCCTGGTTGTAACCTTAAGGGTCTAAGTACCTAATAATCATATACTTACCCAAAACCTCTACTACAATTACCATTACCCAAATGCCAAGTGCCTAATTATTGGGTACATGGACCCTTTGGGTAAGTTGGCTGACAAGTGGGTTGTCAGGGGGAAGAAATATGGTTGCAAGTCGCATGATTTGTGGTCATGGGATCTGAAGGTTAGTGCTGTAACCAGGGGTCACCACCTTGTCATCTCTGCGAACACATCCCGCATAGATCCCCAAGCCCTACACCCTGGACTTTTGATGCCGGGTGCAAGACATACATGATGTGGCTCTGACATGATCTGGAAATAGCCAGGACAAGCGGTAAAAACAAATCGCTCAAGGCTTCTGAAGTCCCTTGATGCCCCGGAATTGTAAGACAAACTGATACTTAGTCCACAAGCTTGCTAAATTTTTCAAACTGCCAACAAGCCCTGAACCTGTGAAGCAGCAAAGACTTACCTCAGCCTCTACAAGACCATGTGTGCCCCGAAACGACAGAAACCTTCAGCCCTGGATGCACTTGAAGCCCACCCACCAGAAATATAGCACAACCAGCCTAAATGCTGACTCCGAAGGCTTCCCCTCAAACCCTGAAACCCGAAGCCCTTGGGTTTAGGCTTTAGGGTTTAGGCCTCAAACCCTCATTAAACCCCAAACCCTAAACCCTAAACCGAAGAAATCCTATGAACCCCACACCCCAAAAGCCCAATCTCCCCTAAACCCTTAGCTCGCGAAGGCCAGGTCCTTTTGGGTGAACGCATCGCAAAGGCTGGTGCCTGGCAATTCCCCCAAGGAGGCCTACGCAGGGTTCAGAGTCTAGAGGTGAGAGTTTCAGGGTTTTAGGGTTTAGGGGTTAGGGTTTTAGGGTTTAGGGTTTTAGGCTTGCAGCTGATGCGTCGCGCCTCGACCCAGGGGGGTCGTGGGCGGCGCGCCGCGCGACAGCTGAATCCCACCCCAGGACCACCCGGTCGCAAGCGTCCAAGGGTTTTTGCTTAGGCCTCGGCAGGGAAGCGCGGGGAGCAGCCGAACACAGAGGC